CACACACACACACACACACACACACACACACACACACACACACACACACACACACACACTTAAGAGCATTGACTGACAGCAGCTTCAGTTGTGGTATAAAAATATGAATATGTGAGGCTGAGGCAGCACAGCATGGTATATAAACCCAGGTTAAATTTGAACTCCCTGTCTGCTGCATACAACTTCATGACACGAGTGAAGGTGCTTGAGTCATCTGTAGCTCCACTTTAATCCAGTGAGGAACACACATGTCAGTGGTGCATCGCAAACAAGGTCGAGTTCCCTTCAAAACCATTCAGAGACACTGAACTGGATCGTTCCAATCCATCTACATCATGAGATCAGCGGGCACCATTCCTGTTATATAATTAGTAACCTTGCATATGCGTTGTTACATAAAGGCCTGACCTTCATCATTCATGGTACAGTGGCTGTTTCAGGGAGGGTTACTATCATGGCTGTGGGGGGTTGGTGTTGTGACGTTAGAAAACAGGGCTCCTTCTGCTTCGATGGGCAGCACAGAGGAAAACCACTCACAACATCATCTAAAGCTCTTGTAGGGCTTAATTATCTTCAGTAAACTGAATTACCCTCTCAGTATACACTGCAAACACACACATGTAAGGTTGGAGGATGTGATAGGGCCAAACTGAGATTGAGATAAGGATTTTCAGGTCATATGATCACAATAAATGTGTCATTATTATTTATTTTAAGTTTAAAGCTTAATTGTTGCCTTCAGGGTGAAGGTTGGGGTTTTAAACTTCAATCAATCAATGAAACTTTAAATCACAATTTGTCTCATAGATCTTAACAAGGTGCGGCATCCTCTGCTCTCAACCCTCAACAAAAACTATTAAAGGGGGGAAAAAAACCAGAAACCTGAGAGAGAGCCACACGTGAGGGATCCCTCTCCCAGGACAGACAGAAATTCAATAAACGCTGCGTGTGACTGAACACAACAACAAAATAACAATATTAACACTCATTAGAAGAAACAGTTTGTAACAAAGTATTTATACATAAGAAAATGTCTGCTAGAGATGAAGGGAGCAGCGATGACTATTGAAATGGAGGAATGGTAGAATATGTGAGTTGGCATATTGTCTTTCAAGCAGACTTGTTGTTTTAGAGACAAATGCTTAACAACTATGAGGTAGAACTGTGTGATTGCATCTCCTCTCTATGTTTAACACAATGCAAAAAGCAATAACACATATATAATGAACTTTTGGCACATTTCTATAGATATAAACTCTCTCTGTATATAAGCCATAGTTGTTGATATGGTTCCAGACACATGTAGCCTGTCAATAAGAGATGAGTACACGTGCTAACACTTGAATAAAGACACGTTCCTGTGTTCTGCTTCAGGTTCAGTGGGATCTCTCACCTGTGTCACGCTGTTTGCAGAAAGTCTCTGTGATGAGTCCAGCGGTTTGACGATGGCAGCATGTTGTCATTCACTTTTCTTCACTCACTAATCCACAGAGCCACCGACGGAGCCGAGCTAACGGGAAACAACCGACCGGGAGAGAACCCCGGTGTGAGAGACTTTCACGTCTTTTCGTGACGTATATTCCAGTTTGACGTTGGAGAGAAATGTCGCTAACCGGAGCTCCTGTGTCACCGCCGAGCTCCCGCCTCCATGTCAACACCGAGCCTGTCCGGAAACACACGAGGAGATTTAACAAACTATCGAGGAGTTTACATCGAGCCGAGCGAGACGAAGATGTGAAATCCTCCCGTGAAGAGTCAGAGGACACACACAGTAACACACACACCGTGAACACACCGTGAACACACACACCGTGAACACACACTCAGTAACACACACTGTTTCCCCTCTGCAGCTCCTCATCAGACACACACCTCCTCTCGCCTCCAGGGGGCGGAGCGCACACACGTCAGCTGAGTCTCAAAGGTCGGATCTGAACCATCAGAAAGTTCAAACTCTTTCTTTCTTTCTTTCTTTCTTTCTATCTTTCTTTCTTTCTTTCTTTCTTCGTCTAAATGACTGGTTTCATATCGTGTTTCGTGGTCTTATCTCATGTAGGCTTGAATATAAACATACAAACAAGTACCCATGTATTAATAGTAACCGTTCTTCAAATCCACCATTCAGTTAAAGGCTCAGTGTGTAAGATTTAGGTGAAAAGGTAGAAATCGAATATAAAATAATCCAAGTGATGTTTTCACGAGTGTTTGTCATCTGTATAGTACAAATTGTTGTCGTCTTAACTCTAGATTGGGCCCTTTGTAATTAAATACTTTATATTTACATCGGGAGCACGTCCTCTCTACGGAGGCCGCCATGTTTTTTTTACTGTAGTCCAGACTGGACAAACTAAACATCTTTTGAGTTTTTATGACACCTCAAAGTCACACAAAAGAAAACTAAACGTTACAACCTCTGCTAAAGACTACATGTTGTTGAATTTACATTATTAATAAGAGCTTGGAGGTTATTAAAAAAATTAAAAAATCTTCCCAGCATGACACCATCTATATAAGTTCTTGGAGACTGCTGCCAGGCATCTGGACCAAACTCGCTTTATAAAACTGCCCCTTTTAAAGCCACCTCTCATTCCACTGAGCCCTTGTTTGTTTTCATGCTACAACCTTAATGTTTTAGACAGTTTATGAGAAAGGTAGTCGAGGCACGGGTTGCCTCCAGGCTGCTTTTGTTTCAGGTTGACACGATGCTCTCTTTTGTATATTTACATTTAATCAAATTTCCACAGGCCATGTGATGTAGCCCTGAGGGCAGACTACATGTATGACTTAAAATGCATTCAGTGGTTTCAGCGTGTTTGCAATGCCCATACAAACTGTTACTCACCACCGTAACCACCAGAGTGCAGCATTTTCTTTATTATTGTCTTTGACAGTTATTTTCTAAGTTGTCCAACCTTAACACACATGAATTCTCTTAACGTGTGTGTGTGTGTGTGTGTGTGTGTGTGTGTGTGTGTGTGTGTCCGTGTCCGTGTCCGTGTGAAATACAAAGGGGACTTTCAAAGTGAGAAAGACAAAGACAGATATGTGTGACCACATGTTCTCTCTGGCTTGTAAATCTATGGACCTATGCCAACTTCAAAATTCAAAATCAGCCTCTCTCTCCCTCTTTTACGCTCCCTCTCTCTCTCTCTCTCTCTCTCTCTCTCTCTCTCTCTCTCTCTCAGTTGGCACAGCTCTGTGCCTCCGCCTCATCTTCCATCTCACCAACTTTCAGCAGCACAATGTCTTGAACTTGCACCGAGCTCAGATACCTGTGCTCCCAGGGAGCTGATGTGAAGGTAAGAACGTCTGACAGACAGGGAAAAGCAGAGAGGAGGGGTTAGATAATGCAAGAATGCAAAACTAGATGGATCAAATGAAAAGAGAACGTACAGACTTTTGAGCAGGGCCGTAAAAAGAAGGAGCCAAACTGGGATCTGCAGAACAAGGGATTAACAACAGCAGAGAGAAGTGACAGAGGCCCTGGTAAGATGCATTTTTTCTGAGCAGTCAGGGGGATAGAAAATGACTTGTTTGACTGTAATAACTTCCTCAACTGAAAGCTGAATGCCGTCTCCATGTAATTCCACCCTCTGTTTCCTCTCTAATGGAAAATGATTGTTTTCCTGAGACTCAATGAGGTGCATTGTTTCCTGCTACATTATGGGAACGCCTGGAAATAGAGTTACAGATGGTAAATGACGCCGCAGAAGAAAGAGGAAAGAAAATGAGGAAAAAAAATATGCCTCATTGACGGAGTTTGATATCTTTAAATTGATTGAGTCCTTTAGGGTTGTTTATTTCTCATATTTTAGCTCAAGTGTAATTGACATCAAGAAATGATGATGCTGAAAGTAAACAAGAATTTGCTCTATGCAGAGAAAGCAACCATAGATGTGCTTCAAAGATAAGAATGAAAAAGTCCAGTATTTTTTCCTATAGGAAAATCTGTCAATTTCCTCTTGTCGTCTGCTGGATGTGTCAACCATGACCCTGAGTTTGACATCTGCCTTATTTCTGCTCCTCAGTCTTCAAACTTTTGCAGCCATGGTGAGTAACTTTGTGGATTCAGGTTAAATTGAACATGTCCTTGCTTATATTTCGATGTAAATGTGTGAACAAAAAAGCTGAATTTGCATTAAAACTACAAAAAAACATCAATGAAGCATCAGTGTGATTGTTTCACGACCTGAGAATTTGATATTTGCAACCTTGAACAAATGTCTAATGTGGATATTTTGTGCAATATGCAGTGCACACTATTTCTCCTCATGTTTTCTGCTGCAGTGATGAGGTGTGCTTTGTGATCGCCGGGTTAAAGGGGGATTTTAAAAGTGTGGCTGCAGTATTTTGGATCAGCTGTGCACCTGTTTCCCATCTGATCTGGGAGGGCTCAGGGGCAGATGTGGTCCTGGCGCAGACTACAAAGTTTCTGAATATAGAAGTTTGGGGTGAATGAGTGTAGATGGATGTGCTTTTCAAAACAAACCATTTTCACTGTGGAATAATTCATTTACAGCACATCTGCATGTTTTAATGATTTAGAGTCGAGGTAAGTCTCTTCACATTGATGTAAACAGAAATTATTATCATGTGGGGGTTTCAGAAATTAAGTTCACCATAAAAGACAAAAATAAAATAAAAATATTTTTATAGTCAGTTTAGTGCATGCCAGTGAAATCATGTGGAAACATAAAAACATTTCTTTGTCATTTTTTTCTTTATTTAGATGGACACAGTGAAGCAGAGAGAACTGAAAGTGCCTCGAACTTTTCCTTTAGACAGCACTGAAAAGAAAAGAGTCTTTCACGAAATAGCTCAACATGCTGGATGACTGGAAGTTTTAACATTCATTTTTTTATGAGCCTTAGAGAATTTTGAAGTCCAACACTCAAAGACTCTAAGTACAGGAGGAGGAGGTCCACTGTTTGACAGATAGACATCAGTCCCCAACTGACAACCAATGTATTTTTTGTTTCTGTATTTTTGTTTTTTTTTAAGAAAGACCAGAATAATGTTTTTTTGGTCAGCATATTCCAACAGTGCACTAAATGTATTTGTGTGTGTTTGTGTTTATCAGGGAGGCAAAGCCCAGCGCAGACAGAGACAAGCTGAGGAGAGCCTGAGACCATATATCGGCAGAGTAGAGCCAGGTAAGACTTGAATGCAGGAGACAGTGGAGCATTTTTCTGACTGTGGCTGTAATAAATCTCTCTGTATACAATTATTTCTTTTTTGAGTCATACATGTGTACAGCCTGTCATTTTGGACAAGACCGATTCATCCAGCGAACCGCTGATCAGTACTTGAAGCTGAACAAGTGGCCTGAAAACACAGACGTAAACCTAGGACACAGAAAAAGCAACAAAGTTTCTTTGTGTTACAGAAAAGCTTTGTGAGTTGCTGAAATGCCACAGTCCAGTTGGATCTTGGTGCCAAGTAGTTGAAGAAAACGGAGTCTTGGTCCCCAAGTGTGTTTGTCCTCAGTCCTGTCCCCGGTAAACACCTCATGGAATTTAAACCGACATGTTTATTTGTGATCGTTCTCTTGTTTTCGACCAGCAGATAAACTTTGATTTGTAACTTGTATAAAGATGCAGATTCCATGAGGAAATCATAAACTACAGCAGTTTACTTAATCCATCTGTGCACACTGCATGATTCATACGCATATGTTTTTGCATGTTGGGCACTGCCTGGGGACACCAGGCAGAGGGCACCAGTGTGCAGTGTTCTGGGAAAAACCTACAAGAATGAGTGTGTGCTGCATAAACAAGCCTGCAGGAAGAGACGCCGCACTGGACTGGCTCACACAGGCCCCTGTCTGGGTAAAAACACAGCATCAGATGTTACACACAAGTGTCCACATGTGCACTGCAGGCGTCCAAACTGTTGCTCTGTTATCCCTCTTCATCAGTCCCAAAGGATAAATGCACTGAGGAGGAGTTGGGCCAGTTTCCATATCGTCTGCTGGACTGGTTTCTGCTTCTGAGTCGTATGGGAGAGTCCTATGTCCCTGCTGCCCTGCCTCAGAGCTGCCTCAGCCACGCCCAGAGGACACAACTCGCACAGGTAGCTGGAGTGAGCGTCCATCCAGGTGGAGAGGATGACTGTACAATAGAAACAGGATTTATGATCTAACATGACCCCAGCTACAGATGATGGTATAAAATCAATGCCCATAACAAAGTGTGATGCTCCAGAGGAAAACATACCAAGGGATCACCTTTATTCCTAATGTAACTTAGCACTGAACATAAAGTTGTTTTTGACACCAGACACCGCGCTAACATATAAACTGTGCCTGTCTGGACAGAAATCGATGTTAACAACTTACTGTAAGTGGCAGGATCTTGTGTTTCTTGTGGTGGAGTCCTCCACATAATGAGACCCGCAGCAGCTCTAGACAACCTCATTTATAAATAGGATTTGGTCAATAATCACTAAATTATTCAATAAGATGGTAAATGGAGGTCTAACTTATTATCTTCTCACCAGCCACCTTCCCCACCTGGCATAAAATAAATTAAAACTTGGCATTATTTGGATGAAATGATCTGCAGATCCAGATTGTTTGGAAAACACAACACTAAGATATTTGTAACATATTCTGGATGATGAAACTCACATGTTGATATTAAGAAGTTATGTTTACTATGTTCACCACCTTAGTTTAATGTTTTACCATGCTAATGTTTACTAGCATTGAAGACAAGTTGTGGAAAAGCTTGGCAGGCATTTTGTCACAAAACAAAATCTTAGTTAAATGAAAAGTTAAGGAATCCTCACAGTTATGAGAGTTCACCCCCTGCTGCAGACAGGAAATGTTTTAGAATCCATCCAGTAATTGTCCAAACATGTATTGGAATATTTTAACCTCATGGTGGCGCTAAAAGAAAACTCCACCATAGTTCTTCAGACCATGAATCAGATGTAAACTGTAAAGATGGCCGACATGCTGGCTGACGGATCTGGCTGCCTCGACTCCATCCCAGACAGCTATGGTGCAAACGCCTAATGATGTCTACAGAGTAATTTGGTTTCATCTTCATCTTCTTAGTGTTCAGTCTGTGGTAGAAATCCATCCAGTCGTCAAAGTGACTAATATATTTCGTCTGCTAGGACTGCCGCTAGCATGGCTAACAGTGGATGTTCTTTTCATTCATTGTGATAATAGAAATTAAAAACTTAAAGTGCAAATATTGAACTGGCGTCAACACTGATACTTTCTTTTTCCCTCTTTCTCTGTAGAAACGATTTGTTCTTCTGGACAAGAACAATGACGGCAAGTTGAGCCACAGGGACTTGAGGAAGCTGCGTTACAAGAGGATGCCGCTGGAGCACTGTGCCACGCAATTCTTTCAGTCAGTCCCACCAGCAGCTATAATGCTACAGCGAGGACACACGCTAATATGTAACCTGTTTGACACCAGGAGGAAATTATAGGATGATTTACTTGAATATTGTCAGGATGCACATACCATCACAGTGTTCTCGTACGTGAACGAATGACTCCAGATTTTGGTGTTGCACGTATAAGCATGTAGCACATATTAGCAAGACATAAAAACTTTAGAGGAAAAATCCTTAGCTTTAGGTCAGTAGCCTAAGGTAAGGAGAGTCTAATGACTTAAACACTAAGGGTTAAAAAATGTCACACTGCGATGCCTTTCTCCTCCGATCTGTGACCCAGTTGCACCTCCCACCATGCTGTTCTCTCTGCATGCCATCATCCATCCATTCCTCCGCCACGCCAGTTCCCACTCCCCGTGTTGTCCTCCCCTCCAATCTCATGACCCACACCATCCCTCCATCTTCATACTCCTCCTCCACACTTCTTTCCTACTTTACTTTCATCTTCCCCACAATTAGACTATATCCTCCTTCTCTGTCAATCCCTCTTTCGTTTCCGCTCTTCTCTCATTCTTTCATCTCTCCCCCCTTTCTCGACCATCCCTATACTCCCACCCAGCCTCCCGTTTCTCAGTCAGTTTGCAATGACAGGTTTTGTGGGAGTCGGGCTGGTGGTGTCAATGTCAAACCATTCCCAGCAATGATAATGTTTATTACCCACTGTGTCCCGCTGCCCATGGATTAACACAAATTGAAGGAGTACCCTTCAGAGATAATGCTGCAGGGTAAAATGAAAGACGATGGCTGTTGAAGAAGAACCCCAATGCAGTTGTCTCTGCACATGAATATATCTTAATAGCGTCTCTGTCATTGTGTGCTTGCAAGGTTGCAGGATCATGCAACGCCTGCATGGGTTCATGAGAGAACATGTGAATGCATCTGTTTGTGCAGTCGCTCTGCTGGTGCCATGTTGTGAGGTCACCGTATGTTGTTCTGTGTCGTGTTCACAGGTCATGTGACCAGAACAAGAACAGGAAGGTGACCCTGCGGGAGTGGACGACCTGTCTGGTGGATCGCTCTGAGGCCTGGTTCTACAATTTCATGTGTTAGTTACAACTTTTCAACAACCAACAAAATGTGGGCACTCGCAGATAAATCATCTTGTTGTGGGATAATAAACAAGAAGAATATACTTTGAATAAATGATTAATTCATACACAAGGACACTATTTAGTCACAGATTAACTTGTTAATTGTGGGGCAATAGACATAAGGATCATTCTTGATTTATCTGTGAGTGCTTGTGATTTGTTTGTCTGTGCTGATTGTCATGAGCATACATCAGATCCATTGTTCAATATTTGGAGCAATGTTTCCTGTATCGCTCAGATTTATTATCACTCTTTATACTACAACCACATATAGTATTGTACTTTTATTGAACTGCAGTAATTCCGTATGGTAAAAGATAGAGTTTGATAGAGCTAAAGTTGAACAATTAAAAGTAATCTCAGTAAAAGAAGTAGATTATATTTTACGCAGTTCAAGAAGAGCAAGAGATCGATATCATTTATGTTCTGATTATATAATATGTTCTTCTATGATGATTTAGCTGCAGTTATTGCAGTTCAGGTAGATTTTAAAGAGGTGTATTAAAAAGACAATGGTAAGAAAAGATGAAGTAGAATAACTTAACCAGGGTTATTTTCTGACAGTTTCTTTCTGACAGTAGAATTCAGAGCTCAGTCTCAATATACTGGATGTTTGATCTAGATGGCTTCTCTTAAATTTAAGTGTCTAATATTCAGGATAAGAAATGTAGATCATACATCCTGGTCTGAACATGAGATTACAGATTTTACATGACTTTAACTTTTAGATCCAAATTGAGCTTTCTGAATTTGATCAACCTGAAATTGATTTAAATATGGCTTGTAGTTGTGATTGACTGTTTAAATTACAAAGAAAGAAAGTAGAGAAACCAGACTACATAACTTTAGATAGATAGTTTTCAGTGTAAAATATTTCAGTAAATTCACTTTAAATTTAAATTGAAGCATTAACTATTCAGTAGGGATTTAGTTTATTTATCACATCCAAGTCTTTGAGGCTATAAATTCCCTCTATATAGTGTCCTTTTAATGCAATGCAATCCAAACCTGTAAGACATAATTATTTAAACAGTTTCTTTCTTTCTTTGTCTCACTTATATCACAAGTATTGCAATTTTGTGTGTTTTACCCACAGCAATGAGAATGGGTTCCCGCAAACTATGTCCTACGATGAAAGAGAACAACTTCTGACCTGAGAAAATCCCACATCTCTGTCGTGCAGTAACATCATCACTGTTACCTGATTAAAAAGCTACAGGACGTATCTGCACACCCGGGTCACTCGTCTGTTTCACTCTGCATTTGTAATACAGTCATTTATCACGTCATCCGGTCTCACAGTCTGCTGCTTGTGTGCACATTCATGTGTGAGCTCAAATAAACGTCTGGACACACTGACCTCCAGTATTGTTAATTACATCAGCTGACATTTGTGTTGTAAAGTAGCAGCAGGCAATAGCTGGTCCCAATTTGAAGGGCATGCTTTGAATAACCAATTAAAGGAGAGTGACAGCAGTGCAGACAGACAGCGTGATGCGTGGAGGATGACAAACGAGAGGGAGATAAAGATAAGATGGGAAAGACGCGCTTAGTGTGAGATGACGTGACCGGAGAAGAGACAAAGAGATAATAAAGGGGGTGAAGGGGAGAAATAGAGGAAAGTGTCATAATGCACTGGAGGAGAGAGGGAGGGACTGAAGGAGGGAAGGAAGGAGGGAGAAGTACAAAGTGTGTTTGTGAGAGATGGGAGGAGGTAATGCACTGTAAATGGGAGTAGAGAGTAATGGAGTAATGCATAAAAAATGGATCAGAAATGAGGGAAAGACTGAGAACGGAGAGAATGAGGGGGGGAAGGGACGGCAGAGAAGGCAGGAGTAACTGAGGAGAGGAGGAAACGCAAGAAAGAAAAAAGAGAGAAGTTTTGATGCTGCAAAACATCTCCTCTACAGCCGACTCTGTAAATAGCATCTCAGAGCATGATGCAGAATACGTGAGACGATTGACCTCAGTCAAGGTCAGAAAAACATTTATAATATAAGCTGGCTGACTTTTTGTGTGTGCGCACAATGTATAATGTATGATGCTCTAACTCCTGTTGTTTGTTTCCCTCTTTTTTATGTGTGTGAAATTGTGCGTGTTTGTGTTCATAGATCAATAGGATAGTGGGTGTGTGTGTCCTGGGGTGGATTCTTTTAGTATGTGACTGGTTTCTTTGAACTAATTAGCCTTCAAATCTACCACGCCTGAAGGATGAGGAGGGAGGAACGAGAGAAAGGAGACGATGGAAGAAGAGGGGGGAGTTAGTTTCAGGACTCAACATGATATGCAGATTCAGTGCAGATGCCAGAGGACCGGGGACTCGCTTCCTCAACATGTTGTGCAAAGAGAAAGACCGACATCAGAAATATCAAAACAAGATGTTTTCATTCCATCTGATTTTCACTCAAAACCTAAAACTTATTTAGAGGAGTGGACCAGCGCTGCAGCACAGTCTCAACTGGAGTCGGGGGGGAAATGGAAAACAGATATGAGCAGAGAAAGAAAGCTGACGGTACCGGACTGAAATGATGAGTGACCTGAGGAATGGATAACTGTCCTCTCTCTCACACTTGCCCCAGAGCCTCCACCCGATGGGTTTTATTTTCCCTATCTTTATTCAGGAGAGTTGTCTCTCAGTTTGAGGGCAGGACTTACTGACTTCACGTTGAGATCTTGTAACGCTTTCACTCACAACCCTGCGCTCACACTCAAATAAGCCCCGCTTGTGCTTAGATTTGCTCTGCTTGTTCTCGAACTTTGATGTTCCAGTGTGATGGTTCAATGCGAGAAGAAGAGCCAAAGCTGCACCAACAAAATATCTCGATTGAGCAAAAGCAGAGCAAATGTTTGTGCAGGCAGGGGCTATTTGAGTCCGAGCACAGGTTTTGATTGAACACAAAAACTGAAAATAAAACCAACAAAAACAACGTACCGTCCCCCCAAAGTACATCTCCCCTCAATCGCCCCCTTCTGCCCTGAATCTTTGGGGTGTTGAAGCCACTCCTGGAGGTATTGCCTTCACACCTCCTCCTCCTCCTCCTCTTACTCTTCCTCACCGTTCTTTCTTTGTGTTTCTTCATCTCTACATTTTCCCACCTCCTCTGAGTTAATAGATTCCCTCTCACAACCTCTGGACCAATGTCTCTCCACCTCCTTCCATCCCCCCATCCAAATACAGAGAGGGCCGCTGAAGACTGATCCCCCTAATACTGCCACACCTTCCTGTCACACACACACACTCTCACACACACACTCGTTCACCTCCATGCCTACTGTCCTCACCCCTGCTGTCACACCCCATTTGGATATTAGAGGAGGGAGGTATCTTTGTGCCACCCACCTCTCTAACCTTGTCCTCCTACTCCTCCTCTTCCTCCGGGGCTCTGATCAGTGATCTGATCTGTGATGGCTTGCTCGCGTCTCTCCCTCTTTCTCCCTCGCTCACACATTTACACACACTCCCGAGGGACTCTGACAGCTCCGGAGCAGATGGGCGGCTGGTGATGACATTCTGTTAAAAATAAAGATTCCTGTTAACCCGTTGTCAGCTATAGAATACCCTCCCTCCCTCCATCATGTCCCCCCCATTTCATCTCATCTCTCTCTGTCAATCTCTCTCTGTCGCTTTCTCTTACGACCGAGCTCCTTCTCCATTTTGCTCCTCACAGGCTATTTCTTTCCTATAAGAAAAGCCAACAAACTGTGGCACTTATAGCGCTCAGACAAAGACCCCCCGACCCCAGAACATGATATTTAATACATGGTTGTCATAAAGACGGGCCCCTTGCATAATGCATGGCTTGTAAGCACACATCAATAATAGATGAAAAGGCCAGTTTTGCAGCTTCTTTTCATGCAGTTATGCCAAATGAAATTTTTACTCTCACTTTCTGTCGCTTTCACCACGGATGGAGTTTGTCCAGTGACTGTATATCGATAAATTATTAAACAGCAGGAGGGTGGGTGGGCTGCAGGGATCAAAAGACATATTCAGGCCAGGCCTAATGGTGGATAGAGATTGTGTGTGTGTGAGTGTGCATGGTTAACTACTATTTTGGCTGGTCCTCACAATTTCAATGGGCTTTTTGAGACTTGGTTTTAGGGTTAGAATTAGATTTAGAATTAGGTTTAGGTTCGAGTTAGGTTAAGGTTAGGGTTTAGTATTTAGTTGTGATGGTTAAAGTTAGGGAATGCATTATGTCAATTAATGTCCTCACAACTATAAATAGTGTGTGTGTGTGTGTGTGTGTGTGTGTGTGTGTGTGTGTGAGAGAGAGAGAGAACATGTGAGCATATGTCACCCAAATCAAGGTCTGACAGATGTACGACAGATGTCCTCGCTCTTAAAACAACAGACTACGACATGATTTTCAAATCAATTTCTCCCCCTCACCCCCTGAAAAAACAGAAAAGTTGCCAGGATGCCGCTCATACACTAAGTTGTGTGTGTGCAGTAATCTCTCTAAGGTTAATCACCATCCAATCTTCAAAAGCAGCCGCCGTATCGTGCTCTGCCAGATTGGCGACTTTCAGAACTTCTTAGGGACTGCAAAGTGGGCCAGCCAGTGGAGAGAGAGGTATATACAGAGGAGGAATGGTGGCTTTGAAAGAGAGTCCAGCCAAAGCACAGGGTCCTCACTTTAAAAAAAAAAAAATCAAGTTGTGGCCACAAAAGTGATGCATTTATTAATGTCCCTCATGCAGCAGATTTTTTATTCTTCTTTGAAGTGATGTCGCAGCCAGAGAGGAAGGAGGGGGAGTCTCGGATTTTTACCCCGTGGTCAGACAATATTCCCTCTGGGTGGAGTGGGTCCCATTCACAGCGACCTCAATAGCCCCATATGCTGAAGTACCTGGTGAATGAGTGAGTAAAGGCCCCAATGACTGAGTGGAGCAGGGAGGGAGGTATAGCGCACAATGTGGCGGGCCTCCGTCTCTTTTCCTGATGATATTGATTAAAGAGACGAGGAGAGAGGGGAGCACGGAACATGAGGCCCCGCCATTGTGTGGAGATGAGAGTGCTGGGTGGGGTTGGAGAGCCACCGATGTGAATGCACCCCCCCAGTCCTCAGAGACCTACACTTGACCCATAGGTGGAGGACGTAAAGGTTTCACTGTGGCTCTCCTGTTCACAGACTGTGTAAAAAGTCTCTGTCTGATAACTTTCCCGGTTTATTGCATTGTGCCCTGTTGCACTGTAACATGCAAGAGTGCATATTTTTAATTTCAGCACCATGAGGCGAAGGATTCGCTCTGGATCAAGTTCTTAATTGAGCAACACACACAAGTCAGAATAACTGAACAGTGAGTGCTCTGCTGTATATTTTGTTCTTATTTGTCATGTATCATTAGAGCAATTCCATCTGTACTCAGATTAACTCTGCCAGTCTGGGAATAAAATCAACTTTTAACTTTTTAGAATTGAGAATATCGGTCGTAAATACAACAAGTTCCTCTAACTTGAGACAAAACTGAGCTCAAGTATTAAAAGACTCAGATGAAGACATTTGCGGAGGCCGTGGAGATTTAAAGTTAAAGTAAAAAAGGGGGGAATGGATCTTCCACTGATCTTTTATGTAAACCTTGGGAGGCGAGTGAATAAGCATATTTCCAAAAAAGTCAAAGTATGCCTTTTTAAATATAAACATATGTTTCACGGATTTCCAATCACATATTCAGATATTTGCAATCTGAGGGAATGGAGTTGAACCACTGCCTTAGGTGGGATGAAAGTAACACTGCATTGCAAAAGGGTAAGTATGAGTTCAGAAAGTAAATGTTTGCTGGTTAAAATTATGTATATGATGAAATACCGACAAATGAAATGCACGTGTATGCACTTTCACTGCAGTGTGATCTGTCCAGTAACTGAGAAGTAAATCACCATTTAAAGACATGTATCCACTTTCAATTGCATCTATTAGGTTCCTCATTTGTTTTTTGTGAAGACCTGAGCCCCAACGAAGAAGTGAACCTGACATTATGGATTGAATAACACACCCAAAACCTTTGAATTAAATAAAATCGCATACACATCAGTTATGTACATTTGATGAAGACAGTAAAATAGATGTGATTTAAAATATCTGAAACATACATTAGCTGTGATCATAACACAAAGTATGAAGGATATAATAAAGGATATTTGGTAACAGAAATGACATATGATTGAATAATAATGTGCATTTTTTCCTTGTTTTTAATTTTATATCTTCTTTATAAAACATTAGAAATAATGTGATGATGAGTGAAGGTCAAAGGTCAGTCTAATGGTTTGCTGCACATAAATATTGCACAAATATT